ATGTAAATGTATTAGAAAGCACCAGATTTTCAGTCCATTTACTTGTGAGCATGTCCATGATGACCTGAGAAACGAAGAAGCAAGTTTTTGTATAACGTGTATAAGCTGGTTGTACTGGGGCAAAACCCAAGCAAACGGTAGCCCTCTGTGTCTATGTCCAGTGGTGTCTGCCAGCACGGACACACATAAGGGACACATGTGGGGAAGGATCCACAGGCTGCTCAGAGAAGCAGTGAGGGGCAGGAGAAGCTGGAACCAATTTCTTAAAGTCTATTTTTTGGTGGCAATTATACTAACCTCAACCTCCTCCAACAAGTGGGCACTTCAAGAATTATAACTGACAGGAAAATGACTTTAAGAATAGACTTACGGCTCTAAATTGATAATGTTACTTCGAAATACAGGTGTGAAGAAAATGTCACTTAGTATTTCCACAAACATATTGTCAAAGAATAAAAACGTTCAGGGGGCTGGGTGTGGTGGCTCCCGCCTGTAATCCCAGCACTTTGGGAGGCCAAGGCGGGTGGATTACCTGAGGTCAGGAGTTCGTGACCAGCATGGCTAATGTGGCAAAACTCCATCTCTACTAAAATACAAAAATGAGCTGGGTGGGATGGCGTGCACCTGTAGTCCCAGCTATCGGGTGGCTGAGGAAAGAGACTCACTTGAACCTGGGAGGCAGAGGTTGCTGTAAGCCAAGACTGCACCACTGCACTCCAGCCTGGGTGACAGAGCAAGACTCTGTCTCAAAAAGAAAAAAAAAAAAAAAAAAACAGAGGAGTAATATGCATCAGCTTTCTTCTCTTCCTCCCTTTCCTCCCAAAAAAGGGAGGAAGAGAGAATGTGAAGGGAGTTATACAACTATATCTGTAATGTGCTATTTTATTAATAGTTACAACATAAAATCACATTTGAAGAAATACAGCAAAAATGTTAGTATTTGTAAAATCTAAGTGGTAGGTACATCCATGAATACCATTTAATGGTGCTTTTCCCTTATGGTCAAAATATTTCATAATGAAAATTTGAGTTTAGAAAATCTACATTTTATTAATTTAAAGCACAATGAAACTCTGACCGTCGCAAACTCAAGTAGGTTTGATAATTTCAGGACTTTGTGCTTTAAATATTATGGAATAATACAAAGTAAAATCAAAGGTGGTTGTTTGCCAAAAATGCAAATGCATGCTTGCATTTGATAGTACTTTCACAGTGATTATGCTATCTTCTCCCTCTGCTGTGTGCTGCTATGTAAAAGAGAGCTGAAATATATTTTCAACAATGAAGAAGGAAGTAAAATATTAAAGGTGACCCTTGGAGATCAGTTTTCATATTACATTTTGTGAATTCAATAGATGCCTCTGTTTCTCTTAGATAAGGAATATTAATAGGAACATTTCAGGCCTCCACAAATGGATCTTTCCTGAACAGACCTAGAGCATATATGCACAGTCTTTGTAAAACCATTCTGAACATATCGGTACGAAATCCTCCCCTGTCTACAAAATGGCACGCTTTTCCTTCCTATCCCCCCTTTTCCCTTCTATTTCCCCACTGTGATTCTAACGAAAAGCTTTTGCTGGCTTCTCACAATGTCAGACAGAACAGCAGAGGAGCAGGGCAGTTTGAAGCTGCCGTAGGTACTGCATCTCTCGTGGCCCTGTGTGTTGGAGGCAGTTTGAAGCTGCCGTAGGTACTGCGTCTCTCGTGGCCCTGTGTGTTCATCAGTAGCCCCCAAATATCCCCAGAATAGCCCACCTGAGAGAGTGGGTGCCTGGGAGTCCTGTGCCCACCAGTCATGTGGCATCTGCATATCCAGATGTCCCACCCCAATCAGGCTTTCGGCAGGAGTGAGAGAGCTTGGTCCTTCAGGCCTGATGCTCTTCATCAGGTGAGAGGCTGGCTGCTTGCCACAGGTGGGAAAAGCAGACATAGGGGGCAGCACAGCGTCAGAACCTAGGTTCCACTGCAATCTTCAGTATCAGTTGATGTTCTTAGAATGAAAGGCCACCTTCCTAAAGCCACGTCTTCTCTCGTAACGCAGCAGAGGTCCTACTCTCTCACTGGCCTGGTGTGAGGGTTAAATGGCATGATGTCCAGAAAAGGCTCTGAACAGAGCTCGGAACCAGGTGGGCTCTGGCAAGGTGGCAGCTGTCAACCATGAGCTTTCAGTCTGGAGTGGCTTCAGCATCCTTCACTGCATTCTGCTGAAGCTCCCTCTATTTTTTTTTTTTTTGAGACGGAGTTTCGCTCTTGTTACCCAGGCTGGAGTGCAATGGCGCGATCTCGGCTCACTGCAACCTCCACCTCCTGGGTTCAGGCAATTCTCCTGCCTCAGCCTCCCGAGTAGCTGGGATTACAGGCGTGAGCCACTGCCCCCAGCCTGAAGCTCCCTCTTGACGAAATCCTGGTCCTTAAGCCACGCCTGGTTCCCCTCAGGATATCAACTGCCCTTGAGCTCTTACTAGACTTCGGATGTCATTCACGTGAAGTTTGGCTTTCTCACTGGCTCCAGGGTTCTAATTCCCAACACCATTCTGAGCCCACACTTATCTTGAATCCCATAAACATTGTACTAAAGGGGCCTCCTTCCTGACACTGTTGAACTGTACCTACCTTCATCCCCAGGGTTTTACCAACATGATCAGACAAGTAATTAAAGAAGCAAAAGTGGCCGGGTACAGTGGCTCACACCTGTAATCCTAGTACTTTGGGAGGCTGAGGCAGGTGGATCACGAGGTCAGGAAACCGAGACCATCCTGGCCAACATGATGAAACCCCGTCTCTACTAAAAATATAAAAATTAGCCAGGCACAGTGGTGTGCACCTGTAGTCCCAACAGCTTGGAAGGCAGAGGCAGAAGAACCTCTTGAACCTGGAAGACGGAGGTTGCAGTGAGCCAAGATAGCACCACTGCACCCCAGCCTGGGAACACAGTGAAACTCTATCTTCTAAACAAATAAATTAATTAAATAAGTAAATAAATAAATTAGAAGCAAAAGTCCCCAAAATATTGTGAGGATATTCTACCTTCTCTATCTCAGTGAGTTCAGGACATTTTTAGTTTCCCACCCGATGGTCACTTGCTCTATTCATGAGGATTTCTCTGGCAAAGAATTTAATAGTCTTTCCTGTTTTCCACTCATTTATACTTTCGGCAACATCTTACCTGACTTTTGGGTGCCAACCTATACAAGCTACATAAGAAAATATATCACAGTACTTTGAGTATTCTGTCAATTCAAAATTTATGACCCTAAACCACTTCAAGTATGAAACACTTTAATTACTACCTTAAGAAAATGGCTAGGTACACTAGATAAGGTGATCAATGCAACATTCAAATACACAGGAAATTTCTACTCCTTGATGTGTCTGTGTTTCATTGACTGGCATTTACTGTAAATGCTTTCACCAAAGCATTACAGAAAGCCGTCAGGTAATCAAATAAATATGTATCTCAGTTAAGCATGATGTCATCTTCCAGACCATCTCAAGTGAGGCAGAGTTTGTAAACAGAGAGGTCAACAGAAAAAAGGGGTGGAGAGAAGGGAAGGAGGGAGAAAAGTGGAAATAATGGAAGAGGGAGGAAGATAAGAAAAAGTGCAGGGTGGGGGTAAACTAGAACGAAGTAAATTTCATGTCTGATAACGCTCAATTCCTCCCTAAGAGATCATTCTGAAGGCCCAATCATGTGTTTCTAAAGCCTTCGAAAACAGAAGAATCTTCTCAAATCCCCTGAAGAACAAGGACGGGAACTCCAGGAAACCAACACACACATGACTGAGAGCTTAGAAAACCCCACACCAGGTGCTAGAGGAGCAAAGATAAACGGCTGTCTCCGTGGGGCACCCCTGCACCCCCAGGCTGTTCTGAAATGTTCTGGCTAGCTTCCTTGCACAAGCCCAGCTCTGGCGCCTGAAAGTCTTCCATCCACATGAGGAGAATTTGCTAATCACATTGAAGTCACTTGATGAAGTCTAACTCATGCACAGGCTCAGCAATCTACTTTTAAACCTCGTAAACATGCGTTTTCATCTCTGCAGGTCACTATGAACTGCTACCAAGAGCACTTGTCAACCTATAAATACATAACATAATAACAAGTAGTAACTGTTTCACTTGAGAGGGTTAAATCTTGACAAAGTGACATTTTTTAAAAGCTGAAAACAGTGCTCATAAAAATATAGAATAAATATATGTCAAGATTTACTCAACTCAGTAATGAAGAAACCAGCAAGATGATAAGGCTGAGCCAAAGAGAGCTGATGGAGAAGGTGTTTCTACCCTTTGAAAATTTTAGTATAAAATTGCTAGATTACCTGCAGAGCTGGTTAATGCCCTAAAATCTGTAACATGTAGCGTTCTTTTTTCCACTAGACAGATACTGCCAAAAATCTATACATCAACACACAACTTCCCAGTGTCTAGACTCCAGTGAAGAGTAAAAAAACGAAAATTAAACATAAGGAAGTTCTCCTGAAAAATAATCCTTGGTCAGGCTTATTTATTCAATAAAACGTTCCAACATGACATTGAAAGGACATACTGCTCTGCTTTTTTGCCTTATTTCCAAGTTTTAAATAATTTTTCTAAACCCATTGGCTAAAATTCTACACATTTCAAATAAAGGAGAATACAACTATGATTCGAGCCACTTTCAGTGACAAATACAGATATTTTTCCCTTGCTTTTCCTCTTCTCACTTAGAAGGTCATCCTTAAATCAGATTTCTAAATTTCTTAGAGTAAAACAAATATTTGAATTATTCAGGGAAAAGTTTTTTTAACCTGCCACTTAAATGTTCAGACTGAGTCACTTTAGCTGTCTTGAGAAAAGGATATTGTCAACACCTGTGAGCATCCTAAGGCAGGGAAGAGCACACTGAGACACCGTTGTTAACACCTGTGAGCATCTGAAGGCAGGGAAGAGCACACTGAGAAACCAAGACATCGCAAAACCTCTCGCTTTTGCTTTTTTTCGTTTTCACTTTCTTCCCACGTCAGATGGGTCATGTGCCGACATCACCACAGATATGAGGAAGGCACATGTCACACATGAGTGTGAGAACTCAATCATCACACTTAGAAACCAACAGGAACAGCTTTTGCTTTTGACTTGGCATTTTGGGTTATGAGCACAGTAAAAGTCCACAATTCTCAACTGAAACATTAGAAATTCTATATTTAATCATCATCTTTCATTGACTCTAAGATACACATTTCTTCCCCTGCCCCCCCCCCACCTTTTTTTTTTTTTTTTTGAGACAGAGTCTTGCTCTTGTCACCCAGGCTGGAGTGCAGTGGCACAATCTCGCTCACTGTAACCTTCGCCTCCCAAGTTCAAGCAGTTCTCCTGCCTCAGCCTCTGGAGTAGCTGGGATTACAGGCGCATGCTACCACACCTAATTTTTTTATTTTTTAGTAGAAACAGGGTTTTACCATGTTGGTCAGGTTGGTCTCAAACTCCTGACCTCGGGTGATCTGCCCACCTCAGCCTCCAAAGTACTGGGATTACAGGTGTGGGCCACCACGCCCAGCCCAGATGCACAGTTCTTTCCATCTATTACCAATTCGAAATTTGGGTAGAATTTCACAGTAAATGGCATCTTTCAATTGCAATCAGATGGACAGCAGTTGCTAAGCAATTTTCATGTATGAATATTTAAAAATTCAGCATTGAATTGAATTTGCAGAATGGGTCTCAGCCTCTGTAATGAAAACCCTGAGATTTATCAGAGCAGTTCCTAACCCTATGTATCAAATGATTGTTGGAAATGCTGGGGTCTGTTCCTCTACATTCCTAGCCCAGCAACATCAGAAAGAAGTGTGTTAATATGCCAAGATTGCAGTGGAAAACAGCTTCAGAACTCAGCACCAGGGAATTTTCTTTCTCCCCTCCCTTCCTCTGCTTTTCCTTTCCCCTCCCCTCCTCTCCCCTTCCCTTCTTCTTTCTTTCTTTTTCTCTCTCTTCTTTCTTTCTGTTTTTCTTTCCTTCCTCTCTTTCTCTGTCTCCCTCCCTCCCTCCTTCCTTCCCTTTTTTTGAGACAGAGTCTCCCTCTGTGACCCCGGCTGGAGTACAGTGGCACTGTCTCAGCTCACTGCCTCTGCCTCCCAAGTTCAAGTGATTCTTGTGCCTCAGCTTCCCAAAAAGTTGGCATTACAGGTATGTGCCACCTCAATGGGCTAATTTTTGTATTTTTAGTAGTGACAGGGCTTTGCCACATTGGACAGGCTAGTCTCAAACTCCTGGCCTCAAGTGATCTACCCGTCTCAGTCTTCCAAAGTTCTAGGATTACAGGTGTGAGCCACCACACCTGGCTGAATTTTCATTAAAAAGAAAACAAAAACTATTTTTTCCAGAAACTTTGTAGAAGGTGTTAAAGCAAAATAAGCAAAAATACAAATTCTTTTAAAACTATTGGCTGGGCTTGGTGGCTCACACCTATAATACCAGCACTTTGGGAGGCCAAGGTGGGAGGATCACGAGGTCAAGAGATCGAGACCATCCTGGAAAACATGGTGAAACCCCATTTCTACCAAAAAAACAAAAATTAGCCGGGTTTGATGGCACACACCTGTAGTCCCAGCTGCTTGGGAGGCTGAGGCAGGAGAATTGCTTAAACCCGGACGGAGGAGGTTGCAGTGAGCCGAGATCACATCACTGCACTCCAGCCTGGCAACAAAGCAAGACTCAGTCTCAAAAAAACAAAACAAAACAAAACAATTTCACCAATGTTCTTTATAGCACAAAGGACAAATTGTGTGGCAAAGTATAGACACTAAAGAATTGAGGTGAAAGTGATTCAGAAGACCTAAACTTTCTTGTGTAGAAATTTCAGGAGTAAAACTTATCTGATGTGTTTTTCTTGTATTTTTTATATGTTCATAAGATTGTTAAATGATAAATATCTATATATCATTAAGTTCAGAAGAGTTTTTTCAATAAATATATTTTTAAAATATATTAGATACACTCAATTCTTTCCTAAGAGGTCATCTAAATAATGAAAGGTGCTGGGAATTAGTTTAACCAGCTAGGTTTCTTTTTCTCAGCTGTACATAAAATGTGCATCTAACAATCAGTGGCGTCATGGGCAATAAAATATGGACATAAAAATATAGATACAGCAGCAACAAGATCTAAATAGGTGATTTCTAGGTAAACTTCTTATTAGCTAAAAATAATCCATTAGTTTATTTTTGTGACCAGGCCTTACTTTCTCTTGTAATACATTTTAGACAGATGGGAAGAAATAAAGAGTATCTATCTTAGAGAACTGCTTATACCCATCAACTTCTAAACACAATCAGATCCAATCCAAAGACTAAAAATCAACACAATTCACCATGTTGGGTTTTTCAATTTTGTACTATTATCTGTTCAATATATAAGTAAAGTTAATAAAAATATTTTTAAAATAAAAACTTTTCATTTGGAAGAACATATTCTTGCCATTTAAAAGAGACAAGCTGGGCAATAACACAACCTAGGAGTTGTAAGGGCTTCCAGTGACTAACCTACAAGAAAACGTTCAAAGACAGAGCTGAGTTTCCACGACTTAAAGTGAGTGCACTCTCTAGAGGAAAAGAAAAAGCAATTCCATATGGAGGGTTTTAATTTTAGATGGCTTCTCTTGTCAGTTTCATTTCTGTTCCTCCCCTTCTTTGAAATTCACTGTTCTCAGAAATTCTGTAAAGGGTTGAGGGTGGGGAGAGAATTGTCTGTGCTTACATTAAAAAAAAAAAAAAAGTCATCTCAAACTGAAGTCCTCTTCTGAGGCACTTAAGATATTTCAAGAAAAGAAATTTGCTCTCAATATTTCTCCAAACATAAGAAAGTCTAAGTGAGACATTTCAAGGCATCTCTCATTTCACTTCCTCCCTCATTCCCATCCAAAAGGCCAAAACACCAAATCAGCTTATTATATTATTCTTGCAATTCTTTCACAGACTTCATCAGCTGAATGCAGAAAAGGTAAGATTTGATGCAACAATTTGTAAATAGGGGAGTTAAGCTGTTATCAGAAGGCACGAGCAGCCTAGATTAGGATATTAGAGTCTATAGCTAGTAGTAAAAGGGTTTGTCTTAGGTGAATACATTGCCGACCACACCAGAAACAGAACTCAAGCCAACTACTCGATTACCAAGTAGTGCGTTTATGTTATGCTGAGAAGGAAAACTGCCATCTTCATTACAACATTGAAGCTAAAAAAAATTTGTTCCACTTCCATGTAAGTATTGCATGCTTGACACAGCAAACAGAGTTTTCCATTGATTATTTTCATTGAGTCCAAATTTCCCATCACTGGCAGACGGCTCTTACTCATCTCAGCAAGCTCCTAGCAGACTGACTCTCTACTGAGCAAGGAGTAAAAGGGAGCAGGGAACTCGGATCCAGAAACAATGAGAAAATGGAGTTGAAACGGTTACGTAAGAACCTTCTGTTACAGTAAACAACTTTCACAAGACCTGACTTTCCTCTTCAATGAAATGTGAAATAGCATTTCCTGTGTCTTAAGTTCATCTGCCTAATAAAATGTTTATAAAAGGATTACATCATCTGCAACCATACCTAATTTAAGGCAAACTCATTTAATTCTAGAGATGCACTCTTTGAAATTGGATTCAGAGACTATGTGATATCTCAGTATTCTCTGTCCTGGCCAGTATGGGTCAGAACTTGGGACCACTGCAGGCCACTTCTTATTCATGCTACACCATCTTCTGGCCCTGAGTTACCATGTGGGGTTCCAAGAGAAAGGACCATTGAGGGAGTACAAGCCAAGTCACAGAGATCCCCATCGATGGAAGGAAGTGATGGAGTAGATGGCCAAAGACTCCTATTAATTTGCCTGTGAATGTTATTTCAAATCTGCCTTTGATTATACACTGGACCAATTATCAAGGAATTTATTTCAAATTAAGGAGTGAAGCTACATTGCAAACGCACAGATAGCTCCTACATGCTGCTGTTTTTGAGTGAATAACTAAGTAAGTGAGCCTGAAAGGGGTTCAGCACAGCCCAAGTTTCCCCTCTCTGACCTTCTCCACCAGCCTCACGGCAGCATCTTGCACAGGTGTAACTCAAAACATAAACCCAAGGTGAAATCCTTCTTGATCAAAGCTTGTTAAACTCAAAACTTATGAACTTATGTAGAGAAAAGAAATATTTTTCTTTTTAAAAGGCATCTCTTTCACCTCCAGGCCCCACTGAGAACCACCCCCCCAAACCTGAAAGCTCAAAGCAGACAGTGCCTGCTCGGTCAGTTTTAGTGAGCTTAGACAAAGATAAACCACATGGTGGTGACTCCCCCAAGCCCCAGCAATTCCAGGAATTACTACTGAATCCATGGCCACATCAGCCCATCTTCTGGTGAAGCTAACGTCACCTGGCTTTGTGTCCGGAATAATACCTTAGTGATTATGGGAAGATCTGATACTCAGCCCTGCTCTCTGTGCCCTCAAGCTGTCTAAACCACCTCATCAAATTCCTTCACGTAGTAAACGAAACCATGATTGAGGGGTTTAAATCTTTAGTCTTGTACCCCTCCGCATTCTACCGCAGCTTATTTGACACATCTCAAACAAACGAGAGCGTCCATGCTAAGCTTAATACCCGCCCCACTGCCTGTCTCCTATCGAGGTGCCCAGCAGTCAGCTCAGGCTTTTGTTAATCAGCGCACACCACTGAAGCCATGAAAAGACGGAATTCACTGCAACACTGATTCCAGGAGGCCAGCCTACCTCACTGTGAATCTCTGTTCACTGCATTTAACGTTCAGAGAACTCTGTTTAGAAGTCTAGTTTAATCACCAAAAACTGGGCCCCCTAAGATTCAACCGAAAAACATATTAAAACGTTTTCTGATGATTTCTAAACAGCCGACACAGGCATACGCCTCAAGAGGAAAGGGTCAGTTTGCCCCGGGCTCCTGGACATGTTAGCGTAAAGCTTCAGAACTCATCAGCCATCTGTATCGAGTGGCTATCTGAGGATGCAAGTCAGAGCTTCTCTAATCCAGCATCCAGCAATTGAGCTTAAATGTCACTTCTGGCTAGATATCCAGGCATGCCCCGTGCCCGCCATGCCCCATGGGTA